ACACACACACACGGTCACACCTGTGCACCCCCCCTACATCCCCACACTCGTGCCCCGTGGAGCCCCCCAGCCCCTCCCGCCGCGGTGGGGGCGGCCCCGGTGCCCCCGGGGGGGATGGGGAGGGGAAGGAGGATGAGGAGCAGGGCAGGGGAGGAAGGCCGGGCGGGTCACAGTGTTAGTGAGGCCGTGCAAGGGCGTGCGGGGCCGTGCGAGGAACTCGGCGCAGGCAGCGGGGCCCGACCCGACCCCGGGGGGATTTGGGGGTCCGGGATGGGGAGGGGCGGCCCCGCTGCCTGCGCGGGGGGTGGGGGAGGGGCGGCAGCTTGTCCTGAAAACGCCGTTTCCGTCCTCGATTTGGGGAGGGGGCACCCAAAAAATGTCACCCACTCCCTGCGGCCCTGACACCCCCTGGGGCGGGTTTGGGGTGAAAGCGGCTGGTTTGGGGGGGGGGGCGAGAAAGGGGCGGGGCTCCCTGCGGAGAGAGGGGCAAAAATGGGCCAAAATCCAAAGGAATTGCCTCAAAACGGGGGCGGCGCGGGGGGAGTGTGACATCCGCCCCGTGAATAACACGCCTCCCCGCGCGGGATTTTGGGGGAAAACCAGCTGGTTTTGGCCCTGCGGGGCCGCGACTTGGCCACGAGGTGGCAGATCAGGCAAATTGCCCCAAATCCCAAGAATTCGCCCTGAAAGGAGGTGAATTTGGGACCCTCCGTCCTCCGCTCGAGGAAAACCAGCCTCCCCAGAACCCCACCGGCTTTCTGGGGGGAAATCTGCCGGGTTTGGCGTCTGGGACTGAAGCTTGGCTGTGTCTGGGGGGAAGCTGGTATCAAATTGCCCCAAATCCCAAGAAATCACCCCCAAAAATGGATGTAGGACTCCACATCAGCCTCCAGGGGAACAGGAGCCTCTCCGGGTGGGATTTTGGGGTGAAAATGCCTGGTTTGGGCACCGGGGAGCCGAGGCTTCACCCCAGATGATGCACTGGGGGAAAATTGCCCCAAATCCCTAAAACTCATCCCAAAACGGAGCCCAAATCACCTCTTTGGAGAAAATCAGTCCTTCCTGACCCCAGACAGACTTTGTTAGGGGAGAAGTCTGTGAGTTTTAGCGCAGAGGAGTTGAGGCTCTGCTGCAGGTGGCAGGTTTATCCAATTGCCCTAAATCCCCCAAATTTACTAATTCACACCAAAATGGGGGCATTTGGAGGGCATATGGGGGGTGGGGGACATCACCCCCATCGATTAAACCACACCCTCTCAGGAAGGATTTTTTTGAAAAACAGATATTTTTGGCATCAGGGAACCAAGGCTCAGCCACAAGATGGTGGATGGGTGAAAATTGCCCAAAATGCCTAAAATTCATCCCAAAATGGAGGAAGAGAACAAACATCACTCCCTTGGGAAAAATCAGCCCTTTATGACCCCAGGCAGGATTTTTTTGGGGAGGGAAATGTATATTTTTGGCATCAGGGACCTGAAGCTCGCCCACAAAATGTGGATGGGTGAAAATTGCCCAAAACCTCTAAAATTCACCCCAAAATGGGGTGGGGGATGGGTTGAGGTGCCACATCACCCCCATCGAGTAACACACGCCCTCTCAGGAAGGATTTTTTGGGGGGGAAACCAGCTCTTTTTGGCATGAGGGAGCCGAAGCTCGGCCGCAAGATGGCGGATGGGTGAAAATTGCCCAAAATCCCCCGGATTGGCCCCAAAAGGTGGGGGTGGGGCCACGGCGAAGCCAAGGAGTAACAATAGAGTGATAACTACCAGGTAATGCAGTTTGTTTACCATAGCGTGTCCGATCCCTGCGTGCTGGCGGCGAGAGAAGGACAAAACACAAACGTGACGTTTGGGGGCGTTGGGGGGGGTCGGGGGTCGGTTGTTTTTGTTAAGGGGGGGCCCCCCCAGGATTAGTCGGGGGCGGGAGGTTAGTGGGGGGGGGCCCCGCGGCGGGAAGCGTGTTAGTGGCACGCGCACACACAGGGGGGGAGGGGCGTTGCACAAGGAGGGGGTGGGGGGCGTTGCATGGGGGGGGAGGGGCGGCGCCCACCTTGGGGGAGAGAAGCAGAGAGTCGTTAGAGGGGGGTCGGGGGCACCCCCACCCCCACCTGTCACCACACGGGGAGCCCAGGTCGGGCAGGGACCCCCGTGTCCAGTGCTCCCACTTTGGGAGGGTCCAAGGAACCAGCGCTCCCAGTTGGGGAGAGATCCTGCTGTCGGTGCTCCCAGTTCGGGTGGTTGACCAACATGTCCAGTGCTCCCAGTGCTCCCAGTTGGGTGGTTGAAAGACGCCCAGTGCTCCCAATGCTCCCGGTTGGGTGGTTGACCAAAGCAGCCAGTGCTCCCAGTTGGGGAGGTGGCCAAGACACCCAGTGATCCCAGTTGGGTGGTTGACCCATGTTTCCACAAGCCCCAGCTGGGGCTTGACCAATGCAACCAGTGCTCCCAGTTGGGGAGCGATCAACGCAACCAGTGCTCCCAGCTGGGGAGCTGACCAAGGCACTGGTCCTCCCAGTTGGGTAGTTGATCAAGGCTCCCGGTGCTCCCAGTTGGGAAGATGATTAAGGAACCCTTTGCTGCCAGTTGGGGAGTATATCAAGGAACCCACTGTTCCCAGTGCTCCCAGTATGGTAGCTTACTGAACACCCAGTGCTCCCAGATGGGGAGCTGATCAAGGTAACTGGATTTCCTGGTTGGGTGGTTGGCCAAGACACCCAATCCTATCATTTGGGTACTTCACCAAGACAACCAGTGCTCCCAGTTGGGCAGTTGACCAAAATGCCCATTGCTCCCAATGCTCCCAGTTGGGTGGTTGACCAAGACAACCAGTGCTCCCAGTTGGGGAGCTGGCCAAGCCATCTGGTATTCCCAGTTGGGTGATTCCCAGCTGGGTTCTTGCCCAAAGCTCCCATCACTCCCAGTGCTCCCAGCTGGGGAGCTGACCAAGGCAACCATTGCTCCCAGTACTCCCAGCTGGGGAGCTCAGCAAAATGCCCAGTGGTCTTGGACGGTTGACCAGGGCTCCCATCGCTCCCAGGGCTCCCAGTTGGGAAGCTGATCGAGGCCACCATTACTCCCAGTGCTCCCAGTCGGGTGGTTGACCAAGGCTCCCATTGCTCCAGGTGCTCCCAGTTGGGGAGCTGCCACGACTGTCAGCTGGGTGGCTGCCCAAGGCTCTCATCGCTCCCAGCTGCCCCCTCTGGGACTGCCCCCCTCCCCTCCCCTGCCCTCCCCTGCCGTACCTGCCGCAGGTTGCGCGTGACGCGCACGTGGTGCCACCCGCCGTCGTGGAACTTGCCGTTGACGGGCTCCACCAGCGCCTCAAAGGCACCGGCGCCCAGGTTGATGACGAGCCACACGGCGCCGGCCTTGAGCGACAGGTTGAGGAAGTCGGCGGCGCGGCCGGTGTGGAGCAGGAGCCCGTGGCGCTGCCGCGTGCGGAACGCCAGCGCCAGCTCATCCGCGCTGCTCTGCACCGGCGACCGCGACACGTCGTAGCAGAAGAACTCGCTGCCCCGGAACGTGGCCACGTACTCGGTGCGGCCTGGGGGGGACAAGGAGGGGAACCTGGTGTGGAGGCCTCGTCACTGGGACCCGGTGTGGGGACCTCGCGGGGGGGCCTGGTGTGGGGACCTTGTCACTGCAGCAGGGACCTGCTAACGGGGTCTGTGCATGGGGACATCGGAACAGGGTCTTGCACGGGGGTGTTGCGATGGGGACGTTGTGATGGGGACCCACCAGTGGGGACGGTGCAGCAGGGACCCGGTAATGGGGCGTTGCACAGGGGTGTTGCACAGGGATCTCTCAGCAGGGACCTGATGATGGGGGCTTTGGGGTGAGGATCTCGTGGGGACGTTGTCACGAGGACCTTGCTTGGAGTACCTCGCACAAGGGACCTCGTCGGGGGATCTCGCAGTGGGGTCTCGCTGTCACCAGACCTCGTGTACGGACTTTGTGGTGGGGGACGTTGCACCGGGGTCTTGCATGGGGATGTCTTGTCTTGGGGATGTCACATCAGAACCTCACCCTGGTCTGAGAATGGGGTCCTGGATGTGCAGGGGGATGTTGGGGGTCCTGGGGAGTCCTGGGAGGTCCCAGGTGTGGGTGAGTGGCCCCAAGGGGACCCAGATGTCCAGGGGGACAGGGGGGCTCCTGGAGAATCTAGGGGGGTCCCCAGTGAGTGGGGAGGGTCACGCCCTCACTGACCTTTTGCCGCTTGCTGGATCTCGCCGGCGCCGCGGCCGGGCCCCCCCTCAGCGACCTCGGCGGGCCCTGGGGAAGGGGCACGTCAGGGGGGGCCCAGGTGTGCACAGGTGTGCGACCCCCGGGCCGAGGCAAGGGGACCCTCAAGGTCCTCGCACGAGGGGCCACCCAATCCCACACCCCCATGCCCATGCAAGGACCCCACTCCTCGGGGGGGGAGGATGGGGTGCGGGACCCTCCGGCCCCTCTCGTGCGTGGGGGGCTCAAATGCACCCCCGGCCCTCATGGGGTGAGGGGAAGCCCCCCCAGGCCTCGTGTGAGGGGCCGCCGCCCTCACCTCCCCCTTCCACGAGGGCTCATGGAAGGGGCTGCCCCTTCCCCCATCCCATCCCATCCCACCCCCTCCACCATCCCCCCCACCCCCCTCGTCCCCGTGCGAGGCGGCCGCCCCTCCCCCCGTGTCGCACGAGCCACAGACACGATGGAGGGACATGGGGGGGATGGAGGGAGGGGAGGGGGAGGATGATGAGGATGGGGGAGGAGAGGGGCCCGAGGGCGCGTCTTTACCTTGGCCGGTGAGTCGCAGGTGGGCGGGACCTGGGGGGGAGGGAGGGGAGGGAGGGGACGGGGC